TGAATGTATTTTAGTAGAAAATAGTTAAGGAGAGAACGGAAACGGCAAGCAATTGGTACGAAAATGCATGAACAATTATAATCGGAGACTATGGATGGATGTTTGCAGAAGAAACAGTCAAATTGAGACAATTGATTGTTATTTTGTAAATTAACTGTTCATTATATGGTTCTCATATTTTAATGAGATATTCTGTAATGTTATGCTTAAAAACATTCGATTGTCCTTACTCGTGTTCTCATTCACTATTATTACAACTATGAGTGAGATCATTTCATTCATGATTATTTTGAGAAAGTCAGAATAATAATAGATGGTAATGATTAATCATAATAGTAAATATTTTTAAGAAGCCATGACTAGTGGAGTTCAACCAGGTCTGTTGAGATAGTAACCCACTGAAGACAATACTGGACGGTAGCACAATGTCGTGGATTGGTTGAAAAGTTAGACAGTAGCACCTTTGGATGCTCGCCGGCTCAGTGGTCTAGAGATTAAGCTTTCACGCGCGAGATCGAAGGTCCTGAGCTTGAATCTCGAGATGCGAGATCGTATGTGCTCACTGCTGAGGAGTCCCACAATAAGACGAAATGACCGTTCAATGCTTTAATTGACTCATGAATTTAACAATTAAATAAATTTCAGCTTATTTGTTGGCTGAAGGGGCATTTTGTGGAGATTTAGTATTTTCATAGTTGAAAGCGTGAGTCAATTGAAGCTAGACCACCATGGAAAACCTGGAAGCATTGGAAGGCGGTTTCGTTCTATTGTGGGACTCCTCAGCAGTGCGCATCCACGATCTCGCACTCGTGAGATTCGAACCCAGGACCTACCAGTCTCGCGAGAGAGCACTTAACCGGTATCCGATGGTGTTTATGTCTAACTCCAATCTGGGTCCTGGGTTCGAATCTCGCGAGGCGGGTTCGTGGATGCACACTGCTGAGGAGTCCCATAACAGGACGAAATGACTGTTCAGTACTTCCAGGTTTTCCCTGGTAGTCTAGCTTCAATTGACTCACGATTTCAATTATTTGCTCTCTGTTAACTGAGAAAATAATAAATGATAAACCTTTGAAATATCAATTAATTCTACCGTCTATTAGTCAATTAACTATACACAATAAATGAATGCCGAATGTTCAGGTCAAATGATTTAAGAAAGAAAGGGTAGACGAAACTTTTATTATGATTTGATACTTCTACTACTATTACTACTACCACTACTCTATAAAATATAATTAATGTCTGTCTATGGGGAAAACTTTATGTTTAAAAAAAAACTAAATAAAGAAATCTCGATACTTGGGTGAATGATGATAAAGTAAATATACAATGAATAGGATGATAGAGATATATTAAAACAAACAAACTAGTGAGAAATATCTATGCTAACTGAACTGGAAAGGTTAATCAATTGATAGAACGAAAAAGAAAGCAGATAGTTGACTTTTATTGATACCCATATCATTAAACTGTAATTACAAGAGAAGAGTAATATGATCTCTAGTCCCACTATCGATTAGTTCGCTAATACTGCCAATAAGATAGGTAACCTTCTAGGTAATGATTGACACATCAATGAATAAACAACAAACAAGATATATTGCCCCTAAATGCCCTGGTACGACCGAGAGTGGGGAGAGTCCGCTCTCCCTCTCCAAATGCTCTCACATGGCCACGCGTAATATAGCCTCTGACAGGGAAGTCATACTCACTGCCTTCTCGCACCATGGTGTTGTTTACGAAATTGAGAGGACGAAAAGCGAATGACCGGTGCTTTAACAGGGTTGGTGAACACGGAAAGTCCATCTAAGGGAGTTGGAAAACCAAAATTCCAAACCGATGGTGCACATGGGCTGGCTCCAGTATCCTGAGGGAACAAACGGCATATGAACCTATTGTTGGTCACCGGCTACCATGGGACTGCATCTCCTCACGATGCTCCAATGCCTTATGGATCAGACCTTTAGGTCAAAGGCTCGGGGTGTGGTCCCCTAAGAAAACCACCTGCTTCAGTTTGGGCACCTGGGCAGTATCACAACCTTCACACAAATCAAATGAGATTTGTGCGGCTCATATGTATCTGGTGCTTCCTTGTACCAATATTTATATGTTTAAATAAATAAATAAAATAATATACTTTCACACTGCTCACTCCATTATATCACTAACTGGTTACACTGAGACGGCTGCAATATGCATATATGTATGATTACGACTGCCTAACCTTGTAACTCATATCGAAATGAAGCATTTTTTTATGAAGGAGATTACGGTATGAAAAACGCTTTATTGCAAAAGCAGGGTACATTATTATTATTGTCGGACTAATCTAACGTGAGAATCCATATAGTTTCTGGTTGGGAATACGCGAAAAATGGGGGCTTATGCATTTCTAAATAAAAATGATGTGGAAGTTGTAGCCATGAAGTTATTCAAAGGATTATAAATTGATTGACGATAAAAATGTAAACCCTATCGGATGAAAACTTATTGGTTAAAAGACAACACACTTAGCATATAACCTAAATGCCCTCGATGTTTAAAAGGCCATATGATTCCAGATGGATCATCTTCTATCTAAAGGCTATATAGTGGATGAGAAATGGAAGTATGGGCAGACTATTATAAGGAATTATAGTATCCACCTATCCAAGGTCATCTCCAGTTAGCAGGCCATAGATTAGATTAGCAAATGTTCCATGCAGGATAATGCTGAGGCAAGCTGATTGGCTAAAAATTAACCAGATAGATGAAGACTCTAGAATATTCTTGTGCATAGATTTCAGATTTACTAACATTTTTCTCACTGTGATTGTTACTCCCACTTTTCTGACTTCATTTGGAACATAATTTTATTTCTGCATAACCGTGTTCTTAGGGACTGGTCGAGTGGAATGGTGTCTGAAGAATATTAAGAAATAAGAGTAGTCGGGTCATACAAAAAGAGATCTTGGTATCTTCCATGTATATATTTATCTGAATCACTTCATTATTATGTATACATAGCTATGATTCATGTAAATAATGATTTGGTTTTTGAGATAAAGCTTCCTACGCATTCTAGGTCTGTTTAATTCAATATAACCGATTGGGTTAAGTGTAAAGAAGTGTTTGAATCAGACCGCAAACCATAACAATTTACATTGTTGAGAATCCTTACGTTAAAACGAAACAACTCAATGTTCCCTGATTTTCAGTAGCTCTCTGGCTAAAGTCATTTTTCTATGATGCAAACTATAGTTTAGTAAAAATCTTAAAATATAGATGAGTTGAGAGAACAATAAATCACCAAATACACAGAAGTAGTTACTTCAATGGTAGTTATATTTAGAAAAAGATTGCATATAAAAATATGAAAGCGAGAGAAAGAATAATTTGATAGATACAAAGGTACAAAGTAATTTTAATCTCACGGTTTAAGAGAAGACAAAGAGTGTATACACCTACACCATTGTGATCAATCAATCCTGAGTCATGTCACCTACAGTCTTTAACCATTGGTTACAATAGTCACGTGGAACCCAACCAAGTTGTTTGCATCCACCAACATGGCTAGAACTAGACGTTAGTGACTTCAACGACTGATGCCACATTTTGATTTGGTCACTCCTAAATTTCCTCCAACACTAGTCAGCATTAAGCATCGTGGTAATCGGTGTTCAGGAAGACGTAACACATCACCCAACCATCTCAGTCGATGAAGAATCACAACCTCATCAACTTATTTACCATACTAATATGTGACTACTCAAAACAGGTGTAGAGGAATTCTATAATGTAATATTTTTTTTCTCTGTTTGGGGTGATTTTTTGAACACTCCCAAATGCCCTGATACAGGTGAGGGTAGAGAGAGTTTGCTCTCCCTCTCAAAGTGCTCTGACATGGCCACGCATATACAGCCACTGTCACGGAAGTGTTACTCATTTCATTGTCACACCAGGGGTGTTGTCCCATATCTAAATGCGTTCTTACTATTTATCACGTCTTTACTCGGCTATAAGGTGGATACGTTGAAGGAATAATCATAATAAAAATGACAATGAATACACTCTATTTAATTTTTATTTATTTAAACACGTAAAAATTGACACAAGGAGACACTCTAGGTGGATGCTCCATATCCACCAACCCTAATAAAGCGCCGGACATTTGCTTTTCGTCCTCTCAATCTCGTAAAGAACACGCCAGCCGCGAGAAAGCAGTGAGTAGGACTTCCCTGACAGTGACTGTGTTGGGGATGTCAAATCCCCAGAACTTACTTGGTGAATAACTTAATTTTGTAATTTTATTTTTAAAATTTGAGTTTCCTTGTTTTCGCGACAAAGGCGCTCTTTTCACCTTCAAGTCGTTTTTCCCACTTGTAAAATATCTTAAATGCTATTGGTCCGTTGTAGCTTTGAGTGTGCTATTTTACAATGCTGCCCAAGGACAAATTATCGCTGTATACATACGTTTGGGTTTTTCCCCTTATGACTTGCTTGTACTCAGCTGCTTACGGAAAATATATATATTCCCCTACTTTGTCTTGGACTTCTTCATCTAGTTAGCGGGGCCTGGGACAACAGATTAGATTAGCTTATCGTGTCATTGGCCTTAGTTCGTTACCGCGAAATCGACTTAGTTCAAGCATATCAGACTGTATGCGCGTGACTATGTGAAAGCATTGCGAGAGGGAGAGCAGACTCTCCCCACCCTCGACTGTACCAGGGCATTTGGGATTAATCTATTTAATTTTAAAACAGTGGTAGGATTCGTGGTATTTATTAATCCAACCCAACGGTTGTCAACGACATCCGTTTAAAGCTAAACACACATAATGATTAATATAAAATGGAAACTTTAAAGTGTTAACAAACAGTTGGTAGGTGTGCAACTTTAATATCAACTAATTAAAATTCCATAATAAGCTTCATAATTTAAAATATATTAAAAGGTAGTCAATATATTAACATAATACAAACATAAAGTATTATTTGTCATATAACATATAACTTACCGACAAGTGAAACCGCAAGCTAATCGAGTTCGTCTATTGCATTCATAACATCTGGATTGATTTGAATGTATAGATGTATTACAAGAGGAGGAAGAAGAAGAGGATGATGATGATGATGATAACGGCTGAAGAGAATGTGATGAAGATCTATCAATGGTAGTATTCGATAAACACATTTGTCCCAAATCATTATTATCATTACAATTGAAGTTGAATTCCGTTTGTCTATTGTATCGTCTAGTATGATTCAATAATTTTTCTGTAATATGATATTCATTGTTATTTAAATGATTGGAATGAATTTTAATAATTTCTGGAAGACAATGTTGATTCAGTGGTGATTCAAAACTCTTGCTGTTAAATATAATGAAAGATTAGACAGAAATTTGTGATATTACTATTTGTGTGGGGATTTGTAGAGATTGTAGTAGTTGTAACAGTTGAATTGGAGTTGTTCTAAGCTCATTAGGAACTAGCTCCAAGATAGACTTCCTGGAGTTCTAGTAAGAAGCTGTGACTAGTGGAGTTCAATCTGTGTCGGATGGAGACAGTTATCCACCTTCGGCAATGAGGATGAGGAGTTACACAAGATCATGAATCGATTCAGTGCTTCCAGGGTTTCAGTGATGGTGTTGCTTAGATCAACTCATGAATTCAACTGTTAAAGTATTACTATTTATCAAGTTTACAATTTTAAAACGAAAAAAAATATATTCAATGGAATAATTTAACTGAATAAAAATTTCATATGAGATCATGAGTCAATTGAAGCTAGACCACCATGGGGAACCTGAAAGCACTGGACGGCCATTTCGTCCTATTGTGTGACTCCTCAGCAGTGCGCATCCACGATCCCGTCTCGCGAGATTCCAACCCAGGACCTATCAGTCTCGTGCGCTTACTTATCAAGTGTCGTTTTCTCACGACCACTTGAACAATAGCCAGAATAGAACAGAACAACATAACAGGCAGAAAAATTTCCATTATACAGTGCAATTTGATGATTCAACCCCATGAAATAATAATAGGAAGCAGTTTTAACCACACATAAACATAGATAAGAGATCTCGATATAGAAATAACTGCGCCTTAATTAAAAAAGAACTAAATGATAAGTCCATAATTAATTGACAATAACTTGACAAAGGTAGAACATACAACCATAGTTCAGGTAATCCGTATTTATACAGAGGAAATGTGAACAATAGCTTCAGGTAGCACAGTTTCCAAAAGTTTAGCCGTATTCACTATTTATCCTGTTATGACAAGTACATTTCCAGTTCCCATTTTTTCATAATTATTTCTATCATTATAATCAAAGATGGATAGTGGCTAGCAGTGGAATCCAGGACGCGCGTTTCGTTCTATAATGCTTGTGAATTAAAGTTATATCAAGGCAATACGCACAGTATGCACATTAACCAATAAGAGACTGATCAATTGCAGTCCTAAACATCAATGGGAAGATTCAAACAAACAATACCAAGCGAATTTATTTCTATAATCATATTTGGCATGACAGCTTTCAGAGGAGGAAGAAATTAGGAAGAAGCGCTGGAAGTGGATAGGACATACACTGACGAAATCACTCAACTGCGTCACAAGGCAAGCCCTAATCACATGGAGTCCTGAAGGCCAAGAGAAAAGAGGAATACCAATGAATACATTACGCCGAGAAATAGAGACCGACATGAGAAGAATGAACAAAATTTAGATAGAACTAGAAAGGAGGGCCCAGGACAGAGCGGGTTGGAGAATGCTGGTCAGCGGCCTATGCTCCATTGGGAGTAACAGACGTAAGTAAGCAAGTAATTTGGTATGACACATTCTTTTAGTGTCCTGATGCACCAAAAAGTCTGTATTCTAAATAACGTAAATTTAAAAACTTATTGAAGCCAAACCCAGATAAACTAGGTCAGATATTCGTTTTCTTCGTATAATCAGACAATACTTGTATGTACATGTTTTAAAGCATCAGTTGTGAGCGAGTCTATCATTACAGACCAGTCTAAAGGTCTGCTATAACATGATAAATTTTGTAATGATTATGTATTATCATATTGTTGATATTCAAGAATGAACTTTGATCAATCTTATAGTTGGCATACGCTCATTTTGTGCATATTCCCTTGATATTGCCATTATGACACTAGTTTATATAGAATTGATAGAATGTAGCTACTAATAGAGTCCATGATGCACATTTCATCTCATTTGCGACTCGTCAGCAGGAATATGTCAACATCTCAGAGTTACAAAGTGTATAACGCATTGATGTTTAGAAAAAAAAGTACTAGGTTGAAATCCCGAAGTGAATATATAAACCTTCGGATTCCAGCTGACGATTCTAAAGCAAGATGAAAAGCACGTCCCGGGTTCTATTGCGGTGTGGTCTACTTATACCCACATAAGTAATATATGGTGATGGTCAGACATAGAATGTATTTTGGCAGAAGATCAATAAGGAAAGAACCGGAAAGAAACACAATCTGTACGAAAATGTATGAAAAATGAAATCAGAGAAGATGGATTGATATTTGCGGAAGGAACAGTCAAGATTGAGATAATTAATTGATAGTACCAGTACCTTTTGCTTCAAACACCATCGTGTTATCCACTCAGCGACTGAGCCCTGATAGCCACTTGCTTGTGCAATGGGGTGAAATTGAAATTCACTTAGTATTGTTTGTTTGAATCTTCCAATTGATGTTTACAGTATGTTTATCACATTTTAGTGAGATAATCTGTAATTTGTGCTTAAATACATTCGATTTTCCCCACTCCTACTTTGTTTACTGCATTTTCGTACTAATTGCGTGCTGTTCCCGTTCTCTTTTTATCGATCTTCTGCCAAAATACATTCTATGCCTGACCATCACCATATACTACTTATGTGGATATAAGTAGATCACACTACATTACTATTAATTGCATTCTATTCACCTTGTTTATTTAAGAAATATTACTTACTTTGTATATAATGGTTTTCTAGTCATCAAAACAGCACTGTCAGTTGGTATTAGATTAGATACATGATCATTTAAATGAAATGGATTATTATTCAATAATAATTTCATTTGCATAGTTATATAAAATGAATATGAACAAGATGGAATTATTGTGGATTGAAAGTTATCCATGAAGTGAATAGTTGAATTCTTTAATAACTTCATGATAGAATTATCACCGGATAATATAGGAAGATTTGTAATAGTAGTATTTAATAAAGGAATAATAGTTGAATTGGAATTGTGCCTGTTCGAATTACAATCATCATCATCATCATCATCATTGTGGCCAATAATAGTAGTTGTCTCATTAGTATTACATGTCGATTTCCTGACACCAGTAATAGTAAGGTTATTGCTATTATCATCATCATGATCATCAACTATAACATTGATATTCGGTAAAGATGAATACGATTCTTTTAAAGAAGAAAAGCGTGAATTATAGGAAGAATTCAAGACAGTATTGGTGCTACTAGTAGTAGGAGTTGACGTATCAGTTTTACCAAGTAACGAATCAGTTGATTGACAACGTCCAGAAGGTGCTTCAATAGTTTTAAATCCATGAATATATCGTGATGAATTGTTGGAATTGATATTTTCGCATAATTCATAAGAATTGGTTTCTGGGATGTTTAAATGTTGTGTGAAATTCTGAATAGGAGGTAGAAAAATAAGAAATCTATGTGTTTTTAGCTTGTATTTACAATGGATTGATCACTCGGTAGTGACCGATGTAGTTTATGTCAAGTACTTCTAAGTTGAAAGCAACTAGTCAAGTGATTCGACTAGTGTGCATTATATTGAGATATAAGGTAGTGGTGGTTGAAGGTAGTTGACAGGAAACCCTACACAACCTAGGTTTTATAATATTTAGTTCTCATAAGTAAGGTATACTTGTAATCTGCCTGGTGGATTCGATCCCGTGTCACTAAGCTTCATAATCAGAGATGTTATCGCTGAGCTATTCGGGCTGCGAATGACCACTCGCAAGACTGAGATAATTACAACTGATTAATCATTGAACAGTGACTAACTTCATGCATGTCGAGTAATTCTTAGTCTTGATTGGGTTCCAACTTGTATACATACATATGGATAAATGAATTTTGGTGTTTATTTAAAGAAAAAAACACAACACAACAAACTAATTATAAGCATTGATGATGATTTGGACGTGAATCAACTGGTTTCCCACAGTTGTTCCAGATGCTCTTCCGCTCTTCATTCGTCTTATCACCATCCTGATTTCTTTGATCGTTGGTATACTGACAGTGATAGAAAGATCTGTGTGTGCTGATTCGATGTCCGGTGGGTTCAATGGGGATGATCTATTCAACAGTTCCTCCATTCGTTCCTCTGTCCTTCAATTGCAGTGATTGGCTTGTCTGCCTTCTTCGTCATTGACCGGTCTCTCTGACTTACAATATTTCCCTGTCAGTTTCTTCCTTGTGTCATATAGTTGTTTCATATTTCCTTCACTTACAGCTTCTTTCACTGTCGTTGCTAGTTCTTCCAGCTGTTTCTGCTTGTCAGTTCTAACGCCTTTCTTCACTTGTTTGTTTGCTTCTGTGTATTCAGTTTGTGCCATCACTTTCTCTGTTCTTGTTCGGCTGGTTGTTTTTAATTGCTGTCTTCTTCTTCTTCTTCTTCCTTTCTCCAATCCTGTTCACGGTCTCTATAGAAATCCGTTCCTTATGATGATGCTTCTTCAGGCTCAGAACCGGACCTCCTGACAAGTTGAAGTCATTGCTTCATTGATCCCTTTCCAATCGTCTTCCATAGTAGTTTCTTCTTCTTTCACTAGATCCTGTAGAGCTTGGAACATGTTGTTGAGAGTTATCTTAAATTGGTTGAGTTTGTCAGTATTTCGTAGGAATACTATACTGAACTTTTGTAATGTTGTCTGTCCAGTTTTCCAATGTCACTTTAACTTTAGTTTCGTCTTGGCCACAACCAGTTGGTGGTGATCTGAAGCTATGTCAGTTCCTCTTCTGATTCTCACGTCTTCCACTGTCCTTCTGATTTTTTTTTGATACAAATATGATCTGTATGGTTCTCTGTGGGAATGTTGAGCCGCCTATAACCTATTTGTTGACTGCACATATATTTACAAATCTTTCGTAATTTTCGCTCCTTTCTCTCAGTCGGTCTATATCGTCCCATGATATCTCCATATCCAGTGTTGTCCATTCCGACTAAGGCGTTTAGATTTACCATTAGGATGGTCAGGTCTTTCTTGACCACTTATCTACGATCGACTACAGCCCCTCATTAAACTGATCTTCATCTTCTCCACCGCTACCACTGGTGGGTGGATGACACTGGGTAACATTTATTGTGATTCCCTTCTCATTTGTTTTAAGGAATACTTCGACGATTCTGAACCCATGATATTCATTGTACAGCATCAGTGCAAGTCTTTGTGAGTACGAAACACTCTCTTCTTCGTGAGTAGAATATTATGACGCCTATAACCAATTTGTTGAATGCATATAGGTTTGAAAATCTCGCAATTTTCGTTTCTCTTCCCCAGTCCACGTCGTCCCATGATATTTTCATATCCGGTGTTGTCCATTCCGACTTTGACGTTTAGGTTTCTCATCAGGATGGTGAGGTCCCTTCTTGGGCACTTCTCCATGGTTGAATGCAGCCTCGAGTAGAACTGATCTTTATCGTCGTCATTGCTATCAATGGTGGGTGTATGACACTGGGTAACATTCATCGTGATCCTCTCCTTCTTTGTTTTGAATGATGCTTTGATTATCCTGGATCCATGAGATTCCTATCCTACAAGTGCATTTTGTGCTTCTCTGGACAGCATTAGAGCAACTCCCTGTGTGTGAAGCATTTTCCTCTTCGTGACCGGAGTACAGTAGCATCTCTTCCGTACCTAAGCTTTGCTGTCCACCAGCTTGGGTTCAATTGGTTTCGCTGATTCCGAGTACTACCAAGTTGTATCTCCTCATTTCCACTGCTATTTGAATGGTCCTACCGGTCTCCCACATTTTCCGGACGTTCCATGTACCTATAAAAATCGTTGCTCTGGTTGTTAGAAGGGGCATCGGTCTCGTGACTTTCGAAAAATCTAAGCTTTCATCATGAAGCGTCATAATTCTTCCTTCAGCTCTCAGGACAGAGTTTAAATGATTTAATTTGTTTAATCTGGTTGACGTTTTTTTAACAAGATTTTTTTCTACGAGATAGAGTTGCCGACCCCATGACCAACCCTTCTCCTTTGCTCGGGCTTGAGACCAGCAGTAACTCTAGGAAAGCCACAGGCGGAGTTTGGTGTTCTAAAGGACACATATATATTATGAGTCTATGCATAAATATCAACTCGGTTAGAACATAAAAAATTTGTGTTCACTCCTGTACAAGGGCTTGCATATAGATATCAGTATCAGACACTAAACAACACAACAGTTTTAAGCAATCTTAATTACATCAACCATAAAAACACACTTCACAAACTTACATAACTCGGTGTTAATAACCAATTCAATTGCTGAGATGGACTGAACGACTGTTCATAATCATAATAGATATCGGTTCCATCAATATCACAATTATCATAGTCATACAGTTGACTGTCATCTGTTACTGTAGTAGGAGAATCATATAATGAAGGTGACAACAACTGTTCATTGTTATCAATAGCATAACCAAGAATTTCAGCAATTCGATTAATTTCATCATCTGATGATGTGAAGCAATTAGAATTAATAGCGTCATCATTATTATCATTATAGGATTCAAATGAATTCATTAGTACATTAGTTTCAGTTTGTTCTAATTCATTTGATGTTATTTTAGTTGCATTGACAACAGGTGTTACACATATCGATGGAAAAACGACAATTGGCGCTGATGATGATGATGACACAGATGAGTAAGAACAGGAGGATGACAAGAGAGACAACAGTCGTGTATATTCCGTCTCGTCATTATTATTAATAGCAGACTGTGATGAAATGTCATTATTGGAATATTTTTGATTGATTGATGTGCCCGAATCATATCTACCTAATGGTCCAGTTCTTAATCCTAGGACAAGAAGCAATAAAGCGCCATGTCCAATATTTACAGTAGATAGAATTGTTTGGTCTGTTAATTCAACACCGGAGTATAATAAGTGTTGATCGTGAGTAGGTATACCTAATGATGTTCAACAAAAAAATAAACAGACATGAAATAAATTAGCACGGGCAGTAACTCTCAATGAAACTAAACTTATTTATTCGTAAAACAAATGGTAGACTAAACAACATGGTGACGTTATAACAAGAGATCCACTCCTATTTACAACTATGAACAGTTTAATTGCCTTTAAAATAATTTCAAGATTGATACATAATTCCGGCTACGTAAGTATTCTTGCTTAGACTATTTACTTAGAACATTTTTAAGATAAGAATTTATATTTATTTCCATGATATCGGCCCCCAAATGCCATGGTACGGCCAAGAGCGGTGAGTCCACTCTCCCTCTCCAAATGCTCTAACATGATCACGCCTATATAGCCTCTGACAGGGAAGTCATACTCACTGCCTTCTCTCACCAGGGTGTTGTTTACGAAATTGAGAGGACGAAAAGCGAATGACCGGTGCTTTAACCGGGTTGGTGGACACGGAAAGTTCACCTAGGGGAGTTGGAAAAACCTGATTCCAAACTAATGGTGCACATGGGCTGGCTCCAGTATCCTGAGGGAACAAGTGGCGTATGAACCAATCGTCGGTCACCGGCTACCATGGGACTGCATCTCCTCACGATGCTCCACTGCCTTGTGGACTAGACTTTCAGGTCAAAGGCTCCGTGTGTGGCCCCCTAAGAAAACCCCCTGCTTCAGTTTGGGCACCTGGGCAGTATCACAGCCTTCACACAAATCAAATGAGATTTGTGTGGCGCATATATATCTGGTGTTTCCTTGTACCAATATTTATGTGTTTAATTTAATTAAATTAAACCGGAATAACTCAAGTAGCACTGTTTGACAACTTCGGTAGTTGTTATCTCCAGAAACGTTCAAGTTCTCGAATCGTAAGCTGTACAATCCAATTTCTTTCCTATTGACACATAGATTGATATAGCAAGAATTCATCTATTCGGTAAAAAGTGTGGTGCTAATCTTATCCAATAAGTATAAGGGTATAAATCATACAAAATACCTGGAGTTTTAGGAAATGAGCAGTGAAGTGAATCTATATTCCCGTAATCGTATGAAGTAGAACTATTAAAATATCAATTGGGAAGTGATTAAGAAATAAAAACCTAATAGCTTGTTAGAAGATATCGATGTTCTAGCTAAGTAAAATCATGTTCCTACCTTACTGGCTATCTAACAGTTTAATCCACTCAAGAATAATACACGTTTCCATTGAACTGGGAACGTAATTCAATTCAAAAATGAACGAGTAGTCATATAACAGTGAATCAATATTTCAGCCGTTATGATCAATGGTCAAATAAAACGAAATTGCTATCAAACATGGAATATTAATATTAGAAAAACAACATTAGTAGCATTAACCTTGTCCTGGATCAAAGATTAAATATGATATGTCAAAAAAACAAATAGATGGAAGAGATGGGAAACCTAGTAATCAAGCAAAAAACAAAATGTTGATGTTATACAACATGCGTATAGAAAGGATTTTCTCTCACACACACTCACACACGCACAAAATACATACAAAAGGATCTTATAGTGATGAATACAAAGGTAACTGCTTACTACAAAATTTCATTGATAAATATCGAATAAAGGATGGTAAGAAAGGAAAAAGATACGGTTAGTAAAAAATCAAGATTCACTCATTTCAACCTAAAAGATGATGAAGTGATCCATAAAACAACATTTTCGTCAGCTCAATCAAAAATCTTCATAGTTGAATTCATGAGTCAGTTGAAGCTAGACCACCATGGAAAACCTGGAAGCATTGGACAGCCGTTTCGTCCTGTTATGAAACTCCTCAACAGTGCGCATCCACGATCCCGAACTTGCGAGATTCGAATACAGGACCTACCAGTCTCAACTAACTCATGATTTCAACTATGAAAATACTGAAATCTCCACAAAACCCCTCCTGATCTATAATCATATGCTCACTAGTGACTGACTTCAAGAGATATTTCCTTGAGTTCTAGTGGGAAGAAGTGACCAGTGGAGTTCAACCAAGACTGTTGTAGAGATATCAACTAATTGAAGACAATTGATGAACGGTTGCTCAAAATCGTGGATTGGTTGAAGTTAGACATTAACATCATTGGATACTGGCTAGCTCAGTGGTTTATCGGTTAAGTGCTCTGGTGCGAGACCGGTAGGTCCTGTGTTCGAATCTCGCGAGTGCAGGATCATGGATGCGCACTGCTGAGGAGTTTCATAATTGGACGAAACCGCCGTACAATGCTTCAAGGTTTTCCATGGTGGTCTAGCTCCAACTGACTCATGATTTCAACTATGAAGATACTGAAATCTCCACAAAACCCCTTCTGATCTACAATCAAAGATCAACAGGTATCTCCCTTACATTTGTGTAGATTTACATCTACCCGCTATATTTGTTAACTCGGTAGAGAGAGAAAATTCGATCTAAGATTTTTTTGATCATGTCTAGAAAAAGCTTTCTATCAAACGGAATGAAGAAATTCAATGGTAGCGACTACTAAAATTCTTTATTGGGCATAGGATATCAAATAGAAACAAACAAGTAAGCAATGTCTTTTAGAACCTGTTGGAGTAATTTTGATCAAGCGCTTGGCGCCTGACTAATGTGCTAAAAAAGAATTAGCGATCAACTATTTTTTCCTACCCTGGTAACATGACCTTATTTAATGATATCATATCAGCTTTACTACTCTTCTGGCTCATAAATTTGTCATTAATTAACTCAGGTTTATTCATTTCAATCTGGATTATCATCAGCTTTTAATCGTAACATAATCTAAGTTTAGTCGGATTATATTTTGCTACGATTCATGACCAATGTTGCAGATTGTTCTTTTACATGATATATGTTTGTAGAATTTTGCTGAATCTGATTAACGTCATTTAGACTTTTGTTACCTTGTACTGAATTGTGTTTATATTTGCTCTCAAGTAAATTAATTTCTTTCGTGGTTTTAATTAAGAAACATCACAAGTTTTACGCAGTGGTCAGTGAATAGCTAACAAGATTAGAATGAATATCTTGATCTCGTAGTCTTGTAGTCGCGTACTTGGTTTAAGTGAATTACAACTTCTAAGTTCCATTTCCTTAAAATATAAGATCCGTTTTTACATATATGCCAATTTAACTTTCATGATTGTCTTCAGCTGTATGTATTTGATAGCCCCCAAATGCCCTGGTACGACCGAGAGTTGGGAGAGTCCGCTCTCACTCTCCAAATGCTCTCACATGGCCACGCGCATATAGCCTCTGTCAGGGAAGTCTCACTCACTGCCTTCTCGTGGCATTACTATTGTTTACGAAATTGAGAAGAAGAGAAGCGAATGTGCGGCGTTTTAACCGGGTTGGTGGACAAGGCGCATCCACCTAGAGGAGTTGGAAAATCCTCATTCCAAACCAATGGTGCACATGGGCTGGCTCCAGTATCCTGAGGGAATAAATGGCGTATGAATCAATTATTGGTCACCGGTTACCATGAGACTGTTTATTTATTTATTTAAGCACATATATATTGTTACAAAAGGGCACCAGATACATATGCGCCACACAAAATAATGAAAGTAGGAAGAGAAGGGATGAAAAGATAAGGCGGACTAAAATGTACAACCAGAAGACTCTTTCAGTTAAGAAAGGTAGAACCACTCTTTATGTAGAAAGTAAAAGAAGGTTGTAGCAGGATCGCCACTGGCTTCTATTCTGAGCCATATCCGATAACGTCTCTAGCCACTGAGTTGCACCATCTCTTGGACCCCAGCCAGGGAGTCGTGAAGGACCAGCAGAAGCTAGCCCTTTGCAGCTCTCTTTCATGCCACGACACCATGTCATACACTGACCACCTCTCCGCTTTTTCCAACCAGTCCCAGAGTCGGCAAATAATGCACGACGTGGAAGTCTCTGGGACGACATTCGTAAAACATGTCCAAGCCACCGAAGTCGGTGTTTCAAGATGGTGACACCAATTGAATTATCGTCACTGCGCCCGGACACACGATGCCAAACCTCTGCATTACTAACATGGTGTTGCCACTGTAGGTCAGCAATCCTTCGGAGACAACGATGATCGAACACAGAGAGACGTCTAACATCAACTGGGAGAGACCATATTTCACAAGCATAGAGGAAAACTGCTCTCACTGACGCGTTGTAGATCCGACCTTTTACAGCCAGACTAACATCACAAAGGCGCTAAAGATGGCCCAGATTGGCATAAGCCGCTCTGGCTTTCACTATACGTGCATCGATCTCATCACTCACACCACCACCAGCACTTATGTAGCTAACGAGATACACGAACTTCTCAACTACTTCGATCTGCTCACCATCCAGGGTGAGTACAGGATTAGAATCCTGCCAGTCTTGTAGAAGTACTTTGCACTTGGAGGGTGCAAAGCACATGCCGTACCTGCGGACACTGATTGCCAACTGATTAAGTGCGGATTGCATGCCTTGGGCATTATCACACAGTAAGACAATATCATCCGCATACTCAAGGTCGAGAAGTCGTTCTCCAGGAAACAGATCCACACCGCCATCACTTACATCCATCAGAGCTGTTTCCAGGATGCCATCGATGGCAAAGTTGAAGAGGAATGGTGAGATCGGGCAACCCTGCCTAACCCCACTGCTTGAATGGAACAAGGGAGAAAGGTGGTTGTATGCCCTCACTCTGCCTGAGGTGTTCGTATACAGGGCCTTTAAGATGTTAATGAACTTCTCAGACACACCCTTCTTCAATAGACAATCACAGAGAACAGTCCTGTCCAACGAATCGAAGGCAGCCCTGATATCAAGAAACACTATGATTGTTGGCCTGCGATAAGTATGACGGTGTTCTAACATTTGGCGGAGGGTGGACTGTATCTCTTCATGATGCTCCACTGCCTTGTGGACTAGACCTTCAGGTCAAAGGCTCCGTGTGTGGCCTGCTAAGAAAACCACCTGCTTCAGTTTGGCCACCTGGGCAGTATCACAGCCCTCACACAAATCGAATGAGATTTGTGCGGAGCATATATATCTGGTGTTTCCTTGTACCAATATTTGTGTTTAAATAAATAAATTTGATAGGAATCCAGTGAAATAAAATTAATTCATCTTACTCCACAGTTACCTTTCTGACTGTGTTGTTCATAACTAGTTGAATAGAATAAATATATATTTTTGACGAAGGGGAAGTTAAGAGCTAATTACCCGTAAAGGCTTTTTCGTTATTGATTGAAATATAGTCACTATGCAAATCTTATTTTCAATTAATCAACACAGCCATACACAAGAATATTTGTTTTTACAAAAATTAACAGCCAGTCATATGCAACATAGGATCTGGCACATGTCAGTCAGTCAATCACAGCGTAGAACTTCGTACGTAGGTACATCAGTTCGAGTTGACATACAACATTAGCACAGAGATGCAGTTGTCGATTCAAATCCCATAGTGGCAGAAGTAGTAAGAGTATAAGCATTATGTGAAAGATTAGGGTTTGAAGATGTTATTCAAAGAGTATAATCAAGTGAAATAAATTTGGAAAAAGAAAAAAGATACAGACATGAAGAATTCAGAAGACTAGAATTTAGCAGAACACAAAGAGTGGATGCACCTTCACCACTGCAAACGATTTTGAGCCATGTCATTCAAGGTCTCTAACCATCGATTGCTATCATCTCGCGAATCCCAACCAGGTGGTCTACACCTAACAACATGGCTCAGTTCACTTGTCAGTGACTTCATGGATTCGTGCCACATATGTGCATAGATTTAAACTACTACAGGGAAATGAAATCATCAAAATGAGTATTAGAATAGTAGTATAGGCGGATAATAAAAAAAGATCAGTTATAGAAATGATTAAAGAATGAATTAGCGGAATAAAACGTGAGAGAGCAAATGCAACTAACCACTGAGATCAGCTTTGTAAAATGACTAGATTTCATGACGGTAGGTTGTGAACTTCATTTGATCACGAAAAAGACTCAAGAGAAACAAGTTAAGAATCAGTAGTGAGTGAAAATGACTGCTTGCTTTGGATCATACGAGCAGGTACATAGTCACAGAAATTGATTGGATATGCCTGTTAGTCAACCCCAAAAACTTTATTTTACTAAAATCACTTTCTATATCAAATACTTATCATATAAGCGTGAAATTTTACCCGGTACACCATCAAGTAAGCAGTGAACAATATCAAACTATGCCTTAAGAACTTACGCCAATGAAATCTACTAACTTGTTGTGTCCCGATAACAATAGTGATGGTAACTTTGGGGCCTATTTATAAACCAATACTATGCACATATTTTTGTCGTATAATTGCTAAATAACTAAACTATTCATATTCGTGTCCCCCTTATTATGAGCTTTATTTTGACCTATGAACTATTATTATACGATTTACCGTTCTTGAGTTATACCCTGTCTATCATTTACTATCTCCCTTATTCACAGCCACATTTGGCTGAATCTTATACAAATGTTATTTTCTATTTTATGGTACAATGTGGCCTGCTTGACTGGTATATAAACTCAGTATGTCTGAAATATATTGATTCATATCGCAGAGGCTAAGATACGTGTTTTGAACTTAACTGGCTAGGCTAGACAGAAAGCAGGATCGACAAGTACTCTAGACTGCTCGCATGGGTTTTGTGTGTTACTGGTCTGATCAATAAATCACTGCTCTCTAATTAGCGGCATCGTCACGTTATATATTAAACAGGGCACTTGGCCACAAGATATAACATAACTATTGTAAATACTAGAAGTATATTTACTACTAATTACTCAGTAAATCTACCAGTTCTAAAAACGGAAATCAAAAATATCTATCCAATGGATTTACTTTACCAATATTTTATAAGATTCTTCGAAAAAATAGTGATTACCGAATTTAGAGAAGACTTCAACATTGTGATGTCAAGGTGATAAAAAAATTACAACTAATTGCCAGGTATGAATTTGCACACTTCGTTTGAAGTCACACTCTAAGCATAAGGGCTAGTGAAACTAATCAGTTGCTTAAACCTAACCGGGGACTTCATAGTTGAAGGCCAAACGCAAGATGATTAGACATGATCTTTGTTTACAGAAAAACTGGAAGCGATAACACACTAGGTAATTAGTAACTTATTAACTGGATCTTTAATGGAGCAACAAAATATGACTATGGGAACGTGAATAAGTGAAAAATATCTTGGTTATTTCTTTAAACACATCTATAAAGCAAATTTTTAAATTCCACTTGAGAATAGTATCACTTTATCACCATAGTTAACCAGTATTTACAGAGTATGTGAGGAAAAGCAAGGTAAGAAAGAATGCATCTTAACATATATAGGTTACTAATAGTTACTTCATTTATTTGAACATATAAATATTGGTACAAGGGGGCACCAAATACATATGCACCACACAAATCTTATTCGATTTTGTGTGAGGGCTGGGATACTGCCCAGGTGGTTTTCTTAGGGGGCCACAACCGGAACCTCTGACCTAAAGATCCGATCCACAAAGCAGTGGACCATCGCGAAGAAATGCAGTCCCATGGTAACCGGTGACCAACGATCGATTCATACGCCATTTGTTCCCTCAGGATACTGGAGCCAGCCCATGTGCATCATTGGTTTGGAATGAGGGTTTTCCAACTTCTCTTGGTGGACTTTCCGTGTCCACCAACCTGGTTAGAGCGACGGACATTCGCTTCTCTTCCTCTCAATTTCGTAAACAACAGTAATGCCACGAGAAGGCAGTGAGTAGGACTTCCCTGTCAGAGGCTATATGCGCGAGGCCGTGTGAGAGCATTTAGAGAGAAGGCGGGCCCTCCCCGCTCTTGGCCGTACCAGTATTCCGATTTCACACAACGCAGATAATTCATCGATTGATTTATATTTTCGGCAAATAAAAGTTGATTTTAAGAATAAACAAACCATGGCATCACTGAGTCAAAGTGAAGTAAACTTAAAATTACTTCAGATAATAATTTTCCATAATCTCTTTTAATTATATGAATAGTATTTGAAAATATGAATCCTCAGAGTAAAACCAATAAAAGTAAGCCGATGATGAATGTGTAAATCACTTCACAATCATGGAGCGCGTTTCAAAACACCATGCTGTCTACCGATTATTATATAAATGAGGATATGAGGTTTAGGGGTTACACCATAAAGTGACACCAGCCATGGTGCAAGAATGCTTTGTAGCTATACGAATTGAGTGAATTTTCGTCAGAGGCGATATCATAAATCTGTGTTATAAATCATTCATATATGTGGTTTGATGAGTTGTTGAATGGATCAAGATATTGTCAGACTTTTAAATACTGTTACTTATAATTCAGCTTTACTAGTAAGTTATCACCAAGGTCTACAGGTCAATATAGGTGACAATCGAATATCAGAAAAACTCGCTGCATTAACCCATCGGCCAATGATAGATGTGATCTTCTGACAGTACAAGGCTAGACTAATGAATTTTATTACATAACTAGCAGTCTTAGATAGAATAAATTGGTCACATAACAACGATAATACTAAAGTCGTACGGGTAATAAGGTGGATATCGAAACTTTTATCCACATGATCAATCTCCCAAAACTAACAATTTCGGTACATATGAAATACTTACTTACTTACCTACGCCTGTTACTCGCTAAAAAAACGCTAACCAGAAAAAATAATTCAAACATATGAAATAGACACCCATATAAAGTTCAATGACAAAACATATTAACCTGAAATGAAATTCTACAAAAGTGCATGAAAAACATACCAAGTTCACAAATAAATAACTTACTTTTCAAGTAAAATATCCTTATTTTTATAGATAGTACACTCTCATGTGGACTCACATTAAGAGGTGTAACTGCACCAGATAAACCACGGATGAATATTAACATTAGTTTAACTCAATAAAGAAAAAGAAACACCAAACACCAGATCAACAAACAAAGGATCGTTGATTCATATACTGATTATGCTTGTTTTTTTTTTTTTGTTTTCAAATAATCATCCATTCAAGGCTAAAATTTATTCACCAATCATGTGCAAATGATATCCATGACCTTCAATAATAAAAACATTAGATTGTCCAATTATGATTACTTTAATCCAAAATTAATTATGTATGTAAAAATATTATTGGTTGACATGATTGTCTATTCATAATTGCCCAATCAAAAATCAATCAGAAAACCACCCACATAAACCTAGTCAGTCTGGATAGTCATGTGACTAGATAGATAGTCCAGACATTTTGATTATTCCACAGTATGTAGGATAAATGTATTATTATTTTAAGAAAGGTGGTTTTGTGGAGATTGTAATAATTTTAATAGTTGAATTCATGAGTTAATGTAAGCTAGATCATAATTGAAAACCTGGAAGTATTGGATAGCAATTTCTTCCTAGTATGGGACTCCTCAATGGAGTGCGTTCAACGACCCCACATACAGGATTCAAACTCAGGACTTTCAGTCTCGTGCAGCAAACACTTAATCTCTAGACCACCGAACCGGCGTCGAACAGTGTAAATGTCTAACTTTCATCGATCCATGAATGACTACTTAACCATTCATCCATTGTCTGGGGTAGATACTTGTCTCTACTCGATACAGATTGAACTACACTGGTCACAGCTTCTCATTAGAACTCTAGGAAATCATCTTAAAGCTAATCACCAGTAAGAACGTGATGATTATGATCAGAATGGAGTTTGTTGAGATTTTAGTAATTTTAATAGCGTTTCCAGGTTTTCAATGATGGTCTAGCTTACATCGACTCATGAATATTCAGCTAAAGTATCATTATCTCATTAATCCGGTTGTTTTTGTATATCAAAACAGTTAGTTCCGACATCATTACAGTAATGTATGTCATTTTACTTTGTCTGAATACATCTTTAGTTTGTTTTATTAATATTTACATACATATACAGTAATCTAACCTAATAAACCCATTTTATATTATTTGTTCAACCCACAAAATATGATAAACCCGGATTAAGTTTTGTCTGGTATAAGATACAAATCAATCACTTCAAATGTACTATTCAAGGTTACTGAGTTATTGCTTTCAATTATGTAAAGAGTCGTGAAGCGTCAATCATTATAATTAACGATAGATCTTTCTATGTAAGAAGCTGCATTAACTAAGAATTTTCTGGCTTGTTTAAGTTATTTAGTATCTAATCAACCTTCGTTTGTCAATCCTTTGATTTCTCTACGTACTTCGTAATACTGTGGTGATCTACTTATATCCATATAAGTAGTATATGGTGTTGGTCAGACATAGAATGTATTTTGGCGGAAGTCCGATGAGGGAAGAACTGAAATGAAGCGCAATCGGTAGGAAAATGAAGGAGCAATGGAATTAGAGATGAAACAGTGAAGATTGAGACTGTTGGTTGTTAATTTGCAAATTAACTGTCCATTGTATGGTTTTCAGAATTTACTGAGATAGTCTAATTTTCTGCTGAAAGACATTTGATTGTCCCCAATCGTGTTCTGTTCACTACAATACGAACAGATGAACAGTACTGTTGTTATTAGATTGTCGTCAGGCTTTAAAATATGCAGTTTCATGAAATATATGAGACTGACTTGTAAGTTAATGAAGACAATTAGGTGTAATAGTTATAGTAGTGATAAGAATATTTTCATAGTTGAGACTATGAATTAATAGAAGCTAGACCACCATGGAAAATCTGGAAGCACTGGACGGCCGCTTCGTCCTATTATGGGATTCTTCAGCGGTGCACACTCACGATCCCGCACTCGCGAGGTTTGAAACTAGGACTTACCAGTCTCGCGCCAGAGCACTTAATCGATAGACCACTGAGCCGGCCAGTATCCAACGATGTTAATGTCTAACTTCAACCAATTCACGATTTTGAGCAACCGTTCATCAATTGTCTTCAATGAGTTGATATCTCTACAACAGTCTTGGTTGAACTCCACTGGTCACTTCTTCCCACTAGAACTCAAGGAAATATCTCTTGAAGTCAGTCACTAGTGAGTATATGATTATAGATCAGGAGGGGTTTTGTGGAGATTTCAGTATTTTCATAGTTGAAATCATTAGTCAATTGAAGCTAGACCACTATGGAAAACCTTGCAAGCCGTTTCGTCCTATTGTGGGACTCCTCAGCAGTGCGCATCCATGATCCCACCTCGCGAGGTTTACGTGAGGGTGAGGAAGCAAAGTCAACAAATGTAGGTAAATTACTATGCAAACCAATAAAGATGTCCTGGGGTATGTATAATTTTCAAGGTCAAAAGTAAAGGATCAGTGAAATGTGATGGGCGTTTTAATGAGGGGTAGATAGATTTGATGACTAATACACGGAGATACTTCAGAGATAATAACTACATGGACATAGGAAGCAAGAGAAGAGCGAATTTTCAACTGTTCATATTACACATTCATCGTTATAAAACAATGAAAGAAGACTCATCATAGAAGATACTAAGTTGAGAATTATTACTCGGTAGAAAACAATCGACTATACACATATAAATAGATTATGGAACTGTTCTAACTGATTAAGACAACTATTTTACAGGTTGGTGTAATGTAATTTCTAATGTGGTACATAAATTGAAAGAGACATTTAGGGGGTGTAGTTTGTAGTAAACTTTTTGGAAGTGTAGGTATAAGGTTTGAATTTAGAGGTTTGGAGTTATATCGATGATGGGTTCTTTGAATTGAAGAACAACTGTGATAACTTCCAAAGTATTTACTGTTTAGTGTTCGATAAAGTTACCATCTGAAATCTCTTCTTATGAAACGATCCCAAAGCTAATCAGATCATTACTTACTTACTTACGCCTGTTACTCCCAATGAAGCATAGGCCGCCGACCAGCTTTCCTCAACCCACTCTGTCCTGGACCTTCTTTTCTAGTTCTATCCATTTTTCTTCATTCTTCTCATGTCGGTCTCCATTTCTCGACGTAATGTGTTCTTTGGTCTTCCTCTTCTCCTTTGGCCTTCAGGATTCCATGTGAGGGCTTGTAATCAGATCATAAGTCAAGGATAATAGAATACGAAGGTATATTTTAAATAATGATCAATGTATTTGAATGTTTACAATCTTAGTTGATCTGTTATTATAAGAGATAAGCATACCTAACGGTGTACCCAAACATGATCTGATGCGGATGCTTGACCGAGAACTTTCAACTACGCGTATGTCCATTAGGATTAATAAGGTCACCATCAGAAAGAATTTTGTAGAGATTTCAGTATTTTCATAGTTGAAATCATTAGTCAATTGAAGCTAGACCACCAAAAAAAACCTGGAAGCACTGGACGTCCGTTGTGAGATAACAACTCACTGAAGACAATTGGTGAACGGTTGCTCAAACTTTGTGTATCAGTTGAAGTTAGACATTAACACCGTTGAATGCCGGCCGGCTCAGTGGTCTATTGGTTAAGTGCTCTGGCGCGAGACTGATAGGTCCTGGGTTCGAATCTCGTGAGTGCGAGATTGTGGATGCGCACTGGTGAGGAGTCCCATCATTGTCGAAAACCTACAAAGCTATTTAATTTGTGAATTTATTTACGTTACAGAGAGAAAATTTTCATATTTTGACTCATACAATCGTGTGATGATATCCATCTTCCATAAATTATTGGGATTTTCACTTCCCACTTGTTTCATGGTTTATTCCTTCATCATAACGACAAATAAGGTATTATCAATGTTACGGTCTTAAAGCCATAGCTAACAATTTGAAGAAGGTTACTAACTTTCATCTTCATTGTTGATGACGTCAGTTAGATTATCGTAATTCCTTGTTACCGGGTTTTTGATTAACTAAAAGTGGTTAAACCTACGCTAGGTCACTTCGATGATCTATTAAGAATGTTAGTATAGTGAAGGTCTTTTGTATGTGTGTAACTTTCTATGGTGTTGGATGTAATATCACGTGTATTAAATTTTATGTTCATCATGTGAACAACCCTTTTAAATGTCAAACTGTTAGCTTAAGCTTAAGACATGAAAATAACATAAGTACCCTGTCTGAATCGCGTGATTTTTGTACTATTTCAGGATACACAATAAACATGACGTTCCATGTCACTTGTATGAATTCAGCTTCATTTTATAAGTCAGGAGATTAGTTATTATTATTTATTTAAACACACATTGGTACAAACGGGTACCAGATACATATGCGTCGCACAAATCTCATTTGATTTGTGTTACGGCTTTGATACGGACCAGGTGCCCAACTCGAAGCCGGTGGTTTTCTTAGGGGTCCACACCCGGAGTCTTTGACCCAAAGGTCTGATCCACAAGGCAGTGGAGCATCGTGAGGAGATGCAGTCCCATGGTCGTTGGTGACCAACGATTGATTCACGCGCCATTTGTTCCCTCAGGATACTGGAGTTAGCCCATGTGCACCATTGATTTGGAATTAGGGTTTTCCAACTCCCCTAGATGAACTTTCCGTGTGCATCAACCCGGTTAAAGCTCCAGACATTCGCTTTTCGTCCTCTCAATTTCGTAAACAGCACCCATGGTGCGCGAAGGCAGTGAGTATGACTTCCCTGTCAGAGGCTATATTACGCGTGGCCATGTGAGAGCATTTGGAGAGGGAGAGCGGACTCTCCCCACTCTCGGCCATACCAGGGCATTTGGGGGCTAGTACTTGTTAATACTTATATCCCTAACATTCATGGTACTGTAAACTGTGTTAATGAATTGAGACAGTAAACTTTGGTTTGATGGATATTGATTTTGAATTAGGATCTACTTTAATATTGTTGTTAAATATTTAAATTACGTGGTCTAAAGCAAGATCCGCGAATACAACACAAAGAAAACCAACTCAATCACACTTGGTGGAGAAACTCTGGAACAGGTGCAGACGTTCATGAACCTGGACGGCGTCATTGATGAACAAAGAAGATATGACGCATATATGTAGGCACAGATTAGCAAAGCAAGGACAGAATTCCTACAGTTGTACAATATATAGAACTCAAAACAACTGTC